TTCTTGGTTGCCTTTTGCTAGACTCCTGAAGTTGTTTGTTCAAGTTGCTTGTCTTTTTAGACCACCAAATAACCTTTTGCTCGTTATCTCAGCTCTAGTTCTTCTCCAGCAGCATTCCGAACCGCGCCTACCAACACAGCAACATGGCATCCGTACAGCAGCTCTTCTCGCTCGAGGGCCAAACCGCCCTCGTAACAGGCGGAACACGAGGAATCGGTCAATCCATGGCTCTCGCGCTCGCAGAAGCAGGAGCAGACATCCTCCTCGTCCAAGTACGCCCTCCCCCCTCTCTCCTCATCCCCTCTCCACTAACAACCATCCCCCCAGCGCGACACCAGCAACCAAACCACGAAACAAAAGATCGAATCCCTCGGCCGCAAAGCCACAATCTACACCGCGGACCTCTCCTCCAAGTCCTCCATCACCGCCCTGATCCCCACCATCCTAGCCGACGGCCACAGAATCCACATTCTGCTAAACTGCGGCGGCATCCAAAAGCGACACCCCGCGCACCAATTCCCCGACGAAGACTGGGACGCCGTCCTGCAAGTAAACCTCACCTCCGTCTTCCAACTCTGCCGCGACGTAGGCGCACACATGCTATCTCAGCCCGCGGACCTGCCCTTGGGCCGCCGCGGAAGCATCATAAACGTTGCTTCCCTGCTAACCTTCCAAGGCGGGATTACGGTGCCGGCGTATGCGGCGAGTAAAGGGGGTGTGGGTCAGCTTACCAAGGCGCTGTCGAATGAGTGGGCGGGCAAGGGGGTTAGTGTTAATGCGATTGCGCCCGGGTATATTGCGACGGATATGAATGAGGCGTTGATTAAGGATGAGAAGAGGGCGGAGAGTATTCTGAGTCGTATTCCGGCGGGGAGGTGGGGGAGTCCGGAGGATTTCAAGGGCGCGGTGGTGTTTTTGGGGAGCGCGGCGAGTGCGTATGTTAGTGGGGAGGTGCTTACTGTTGATGGGGGTTGGATGGGTAGGTAGGTTGGTAGATAGGTTGGTGGGAGTGGATGGATGGACAGGTTTTAACGGCATGTTTTCTTGAGTAACTTGCATGGACAAAAAAACTTAGTCTTGGATCAAGGGATTTGTTGACTTGACTTTCCATCTCGTCACACGAATGATCTCAAGGCATTAGAATACCCTAAAAACGTCTTATTCACGTGGTGTTTCTTGAGAGCGATGCAAATTCCAATGTCTTGTTGGGTATAGATTTTTGTTCCTATCCTACATGCACAACCTACAACTTGCTTGCCCCAAACAGTCAAGGTCCGCTGAGATCCATGCCCTCGGGCTTATCCGGGAACCCAGCGTTGACGCCAAACGGCGGGTATACATAGCGGGTGATACCCTTTTCCTTGTGAATCTTCTCCAGCTTCTGCATATCCTCGTCATCAAGGGAGATGAGCTTCTTGTTCTCGTCGATGCGGGATGGGGTGACGGACTTTGCGAGGACGGAGGAGTTGCGGGCGACTTGAGATGAGTCAGTATGATGGGTGTGAGGAATTGGGTGGGTGGAACTTACGGTGGTAGCTCAGTAGTACAACGGCAGGGCCGACGCTGTGCTTCTTTGCGACTTCGTTGACGCCCTCGTCCTTGAAGAGAGGTGAGCCTGTGCTTCCGAGCGGACTGTAGGCTGTGATGTGGATGCCCTTCTCCTTGCAGAAGTCGACGACTTCTTGTTGTGGGCACAGTGGGTGGTTCTCGATCTGGTTGACGGCGGGGACGATGGTAGCGATTTTCAGAAGCTTCTCCATGTACTTGACGGAGTAGTTGGCGACACCGATGGCCTTGACCTTGTCAGGGTGTGATTGGATCAACTTCTCGAGGTTCTTCCATGTGTCTTGGTGGGTGATGGAGGTGTCGATGTCTCGCGAGCCGTCCTCGTGCTTGGGGAAGAGGGGGTGGTTGCCTGCGTATTTGTTAGTCTTGTTTCCGTCTTATCTGAAGACATCAGATTTACCCTTGGGGTTCATGGGAACAGGCCAGTGCATGAGGTAGAGATCCACATAAGGTGTCTTGAGCATGTCCAAGCTCTTTTGCAGACCCTCCTCAGCGCGAGTGTGGAATGTGCACCAGAGCTTGCTGGTAATGAACAAGTCCTCTCTCTTCACGATTCCGCGCGAGATAACGTCCTGAAGCGCCTCGCCGACTTCATCCTCGTTTTGGTAGCAGAAGGCGCAGTCAATGTGTCTGTAACCACTCTCAATGGCGTGGACAACAGCTTTCTTGACCTCGCCAGGCGCAGACTGCCACGTTCCCAAACCCAGGGCGGGGATGGTCGCGCCAGTGTTGAGAGGGATAGCGGTATTCATCTCGGGCTGTGGGTTGAGGATACTCTTGGGTGTACTCTTGAGCATAAACTTGGAGAGGGCGGGATTCATCGCGACTCCGGCTTTACTTAGGTATTAGTAGCAGTGGGGTGTTGCTGGCCAGGCCAGGGGCAGGCTTGCTCGCATTGCTTGGAAGCTTCCATATTGTGGCTGAATGTTACGCTTCCGGCATGGCTCAGGACATGCGTCAACCGTGATTGACTCTATAATTCATTCCGAGGACCGATGCTGCCCCGCCATGCGTCCCCCGCCGGCGTAGCTTCGGTCCGGGGAGGCTTCTGATACGCGCTCGACGCGCTTCAGCCTCACGCGAAATTTTCGCAGGAGACGACGCCCAGGAAAGCCAACGTGTTCGTGGGGTTGGTCGGGGAAGGTGGCACCGAGCGTCACGTGCTTGGAGGGGCTGGAGTTGGAGCCAGCTGGGGCGTCATAGTGCAGCACGTTTTCCGGGCTACTGCAGCCTTCCGAGTGTTCACGACGAGGTGAAAAATCCATCGGGTGTTGGGGCGGCGAGAATTGCCGTTCCGAGACACGAGCGGCGAAAGTTGCACCCTCCAACCCCATAGAGACGCGCATGATGCATGCCCACCGAACCACGGCAGATCTAACGCAACTAACCAACCACTAAGGGCGGAATGCCAAACTGGACCCTTAGCCGCCTTTCCAGAACCCCAGATCTCGCTCCGATTGCTCAACGGCAGATTCCCAAAACGGGGAGAATTGCCTCATGGTGCAGACTTATCTTTGTTCGAGCCTACGACGGCCCTACGTAGTGCGGAGTGACCTCCACGAGTGGATCTCAAAGATGGAGACGATGAGAAATCTGACTCCAGGAATTCAGGCTGGGCTTACTTCGGAAGTGATGATGTTTGCTAGTTCTGGCAATACCATGCTGCGTCGTATCGAGGTACGGAAAGGATAAGTACTCCTCTCGTCTTGTCGGTATTCAGACATCTATCACACAACTTCAATCTTCATCTACCTCTTCAAACATCATATCATAGCCTAGCGCTTCGTTGTACTCTGCATACTTCTAAGATACCCCTCTTCGTTATCAACTACCTTTCACACCATGGCACCCGGCGCCATCTTCGAGACGCCCAACGTGGCTGAGAACTTCAACGACCACCGCGATGGTCTTGCCCTCGAGGCGACTTCCGACGCCATCGACGACGTCAACGTGCTCAAGGCCGCCATGAAGGTCAAGAACGGCACCGCAACCCAAAAGGAAAAGGACATCTACGAGCAATCCGAGTTCGATGCCGAGAAGGACAAGACCCAATTTCGCCAATACGAAGAAGCATGCGACCGCGTCAAGAACTTCTACCGCGAGCAACACGAGAAGCAAACCGTGGCCTACAACCTCAAAGCGCGCAACGCCTTCCACGGCAAGATCCGCGCCGAGATGACCATCTGGGAAGCCATGGAGAAGCTCAACACGCTCATCGACGAATCCGACCCCGACACCTCGCTCTCGCAAATCGAGCACCTCCTCCAATCCGCCGAAGCCATCCGCCGCGACGGCAAGCCACGCTGGTTCCAACTCGTGGGCCTGATCCACGACCTCGGCAAGCTCCTCTTCTTCTTCGACGCGCAGGGCCAATGGGACGTAGTCGGCGACACATTCCCCGTCGGCTGCGCCTACTCCCCCAAGATCATCTACCCGGACACCTTCAAGAACAACCCAGACTACAAGGACGACATCTACAGCACCGAGCACGGCATCTACACGCCTGGCTGCGGCATGGATAATGTCATGTTGAGCTGGGGCCACGACGAGTACCTCTACCATATCATGAAGGAGCAGAGCAGTATCCCTGATGAGGGTCTTGCGATGATCAGGTACCACTCTTTCTACCCGTGGCACACGGGTGGTGCGTACAAGTGGATGATGAATGGCAAGGACGAGCGCATGCTGGATGCTGTTAAGGCGTTCAACCCGTACGACCTCTACAGCAAGAGCGATGAGGTGCCTAAGGTCGAGGACCTCAAGGAGTACTACTTGGATATCATTGATGAGTTCATCGGCAAGGACAAGAAGTTGAAGTGGTAGACCAGCGGTTGGTCTGCTGGATTAACGAGTTTCCTTTGTTCTGGGCGTTTGGGTATATAGATGACGCGGAGTGCCGAACAGGCCCGCGATGCAATTCAGTTCTTTTTTTGGTCTCATCAAATCGGTTCAATACTCATTCTCTCAACAACGTGTCGCTTGAAGCCGCGAAACCCCCACCATACACCATCGTTCTCACTGTGCTACCAGACCCGCCAATTCTACTCCTCAGAAATCTACCTAAGATTTACTTCATCTTGCGGGTCACTGTTGCTGCAGAGCTAACATGAAGTTTTCCTCTTTGTCTCACACCCTTCGCATAGGTCACTTGCAGCCAGACGATCGTCGGCAGAATGGAAGTTACGAACAGTGGGGCAAAGATTGCACTGTCTCTGCCAGACCTTGCCTATGCCTGAACGTGTTCCCAAGTCTGCATTTTCGCTCGTCGCTGGCGATGGAATGAATGTATTGCCAAAGACACTCGTCGAGCTGGTTGGCTCAGCCGTCAGTTCACCAGCTAACTCCTTCGCAATTTTGGGCAAGCTAGACTGTGACGAAGCTGCTGGCTTTCCCCATGGATTAGGTGAGGAAGCAGCAGGCAATTTACTACCGAATCAGCCGCAATCTGTAGGCGGTGCTGGCTTTCCATCGACTAGCTCGTCATCGTTGATAGGACGTGGAGTATCGGCCGTCGATGACTGCTTTGGTGTACCACCTAACGATAAGGGTCTAATGAGGCCAAGAGCATAATCGCCAACACGTAGTTCCTCCAGACTTGGTGGATTGGAACCATATAGTTGTTGGGCAGTGATAGTCATGAAGCGCTCTGGTGTACCTCCCCGGGGATCTAGGATGTTTCGGTAGCTACGATCGTGAATATCGCGAACATCGTCCTTATTCTCGAACTTGCGTCTGGAGGGTTGGCGGGACACCATCTGCTCGTAGGAACAGGATCGGTGTGTGCTGCGGAATGAGCTGAATATTGTTTGGGGTGGTCGAAAGAGGTACTCGCTTTGCGAGTCCTGCGTAGAGTCTGATCTGATGTCACCGCCTCCGAGGTGAATGCCCGAGGTAGAGGGCTCGTCACTACGCGAGATTGACGGCTTCTCTTCCTTTGCAGATTCCGGATCATTGCCTGCGGACTCAGCTGCTTGGACCTCAGTAGTAACTGCTCCGACCGCGAGCCCTTCTAGCTTCTTCTCAACAAGGTGCACATCGGCAGTTGCATCTTTCTCGGGCTCAGAAATGACGGCGTCCACAGGCGTTGGCGTTGACGCGTCTAGTAGCGACTCCGTCTTTGCGTCATTCTTCTCGGTTTCGGTCGACATGATTATATCTCTAGTAGTGAGTTGCACAGAACAGGCCTTAGATTGGGAGTAGAAGTAGTTGAGATTCGTGTCCCGAAGCAATGCTTGTTAGTGGGGTATAGTCGGGTGATGAAATGTTTGTACCCATGAACGCTTCGTCTCTTTCATTCCCCAACGTAGGTGGCCAAGTCTAGCGAGAGGGTAATGTCCCTCCTACTACGCTTTCGCTGCGCAGTAATAAACCTGTCTTAAGACATCTTACTATTTGTGCTAACAAATTAACAGAGTTTGTCCTCTTAACGCTGCCTGATGTTCGTCGTTAAGGTACACTGCTACCAACACAGAGGCTCTTGAACAAATGAATCGCCAATGAACAAAACCTTGGGTATGGCGCATTCGCAACGCCTAGATCAAGAGTTGTGACATGACCGAAAGAAGTGAGTACAGTAGAGCATGCTTCATCACGAGGGTAGAACCAAAGCAGACAGCTCTAGGCCGGAACTATTGAGCGTATTGCTCATAAGGCAGGAACCAAGTATCCAGGCAACGACGAAGCTCCGACCAACGCAGCTATCCATCGCACCAAACCAAAGTTACATAAAGATACTGATCCTAGAACACCAACTACACATTAAAATTGCAATAATACAATCCCACGTTCGTGCGCAATGCTGAGTACGTGCCCACCGGAAGCCCGCGGCTCCCACCGCCCATGCCCAGCCAGCCACCCACGCACCATCCCTCCCACCAGCCTACCCATCCCACCACCACCGTCACCACCATCTTCCGCGGACCTAAACCCAGTCCCAGTCCCCGCATCCACAACCCGCCTATGCACAGCCACCGTTCCGCAACGTTCTGCAACGTTATTGTAGTAAACACATGGTCCTTGCTCTCAAGCTACCTGCGCTTCGTGCCTTACCCGTTAGTCCCCACAACAACACTCCTGATCACCCGCAATCTGATACACACGATTTGCACCCGGCCGGTACATACGCGTCAGCACTTCCAGAAAAAGAAGTCGCTGCTTGTATGGTAAGCACGACAGACGCACAAACCCTCATATATGGGGCCGCGGAGCGTGGGAGAAGCAAACGCGCCCCCACAGGGCTGAGGCTGATGCTGATGATCTGCTGGGGCGGAAAAGGATAAAAGTGGAGGGTAAGGCTGGAGGTTAAGTTGACTTCATGTCTTTGACTACATGTCTTGAGGTGCGCGATTGACTTACTTGTCGACTTGTTTACTTGCCGTTGTGGTCATTGCGTGACTTTGGGCCGATTGCTGCTGTGACAGTGTGCCACGTATGCTTGGCGTGAGCTGTGTAGCTCAACGCGATGTGGGTTTGGGCAACGTGTTCATGTCGAGTGCTTCACGGCAGGACACAGTTGGCTACACAGTTGTTCCGAGGGCGGTGACACGAGGGCAAAGAGGAAAAAGATCAGTAAGTATCAACACAGTCAAGGTGGAAAGAGTAATGTCGTGAGAGATTATCATTGAGTTACTATCTACAGGAGCCAATGCTAATGGCCCATCCATTTCCCATGTCGGGGTATCAATCGCAGTCATAAAAGACCGCCCAGGCACAATGAATCCGTCATTATCATTATGCCTTCGCGTGAGTGTTCGTTAGGAAAGAAGAGAAAGCTGCGCCATGCATCCACGTATCCAAAGCCCGCCTCGCATTACCGACCCGATGCTACCAGTCATTATACACATTACTCCATCGAGCGAGGACCTTGGTTTTGATGTGAAGGTGAGACGCTTAGAGCAGGAGCCATGCGGCAATACCGGCACCAGCGAGGAGGGGCATGGCAGTGGCCTTGGGGGCAGCGTCCTGTGCGACGGAAGAGGCAGCAGAGCCAGCAGCGTCGGTGGCAGAGGCAAGTGCAGAGCCAGCGGAGTCGGTAGCGGACGAAGCAGCGCTGCCGGCGGACTCGGTGATGGAAGCAAGCTCGGAGGCAATGCTTGAGCTGGCGGAAGCGAGAGCACCGCTAGCGGAGTCGATAGCAGAGCTGACCTCAGAGGCGAGGGAAGAGGTGACGCTCTCGAGGCCAGAGGCAGCGCTGGAGGCAGCGCTGGAAGCCTCGCTGACGACGGAGGTGATGACAGAGGTAACAGCTGAGCCATCAGACTGGACAGCGGTGGCACTAGCGACGGCTGAGGTCAAGATGGGAAGAGCAGCGGGGGTACCAGAGCCAGTGGCAGCGACACCAGCGCAGCGAGCGTAGGCCCACTGAACGGCGGAAGCAGACTGGTCGGCGTCGCAGGCCTGGCGGGTGCAGTCGCGGATACCGTAAGCCCAGTTGGACTGGGTGCAGAAGCAGCTGATGTCGGAGCTCTCGCACTGGAACTCGGTCTGGGCAATGGTGGCCATGTTGTTGATGCACAGGTTCTAAGCGACTGTTAGCATTGGTCGAGATAGTCAATGGCAGTGGGGACACTTACGGCGCAGTCACCGCTGGGCATGGGCATGTCCTGGGCAAGAGCAGCACCGGCGAAGGTGGCAGCGAGAACGGCGTAAGACCTCATCTTGACTGTGGGTGGGGGAGAGAGTTTTTTGGTGAAGAGGATATAGAAGTAGGATACTAGGTATCGAAGTGAGGGTGAGTCAAGGTGAGTTGAGAGGTGCTGAGGTTGAGGATGCTGGATGAGGAATTGGAAGAGAGGGCAGCTCGAGCGGGTTTATATCGTAAGAACACAAACAGTCGGGGCTGGGCCGTGGCTGGTTAGTGAAGTTGCGCGCAAACAGGAGGCTGCAACGGGCTGGGTGACGGGTTGGCGCGTCAGTAGCGGAACTAGCGCGAGCAAGGAGCAGCAGCCAAGCCCAGGCACAGAGACTCCACGATCGCCGCCAGAGCAGGGAAACTCGGAATGCACGACCGGTCCCCTGCGCGCCCATTGGCCAATGCGTCCAGCGCTCCTACCTTATGATGTAGCCACGCCAACCACACCCCAGGGCCGATATCCGAACCTGCATGTACAACTCACATGTCGAACCAGCTTTCTCGTCGCGACTCGCTCGTCTGTGGTATCCGCTCCGTCACCTTCGTCATGCCTTCCAGCTCCACAGTCACGCTTTCACACAGCATCCTGCCCGAACTCGACCGCCGCTGCGCACACTCGGCCTTCGCGCTGGTGTGACGGGCTACCAAATTAATCAAATCTTGTGTGCATTCAAGCACTACCAGTCGTCGTGACGTCGAGATAGCGGCTGCCGCTTGGTGCTTACCCGCCCTTTCATTTCCGTTTCACAAAGCTACCAAGAACCCACGAATCTCGCTTCCCCACGAGTGCAGGGGGGCTGGATGAGATCCAGGCCCATAGATCGCTCTTCACCGGGCCAACAGCTGCCAATCACCCACCCACCCTACGGCAAATACCACCTGTGGCGCATGTCGCAGTCTATCAAGCCGCAGCATCAAGCCGCAAGAGTAATCCGCGCCTCTGCATCGCCCTCCAGCTTCGGCGCCGACCCGTCTCTGTCCCCTTCGCCCGCCTCCTGCTGCTCGGCCAGATGCTTCTCTTCAGCTGAGGTGATGCAGTGCGTGTTCGCGCCTACCAAACAGCGGTCAGCTCTGTGCGTTTGACTCGGGGAAGACGACAAAAGGAATAATTAAGCTCACCCAACTTATTGATCGTCTCCATCCACTCATCGTAGGGGTCCGAGTCGAAAACTATGCCGCCCTGCAGCCAATCATTAGCCTCGTGTCTTGCAGCTAAAGCAGGGAATTCGTTAAACTTACCCCTGCTTGGAGATACGCGATGCCATCTTTGACAAGCATGGTCCTTAGCGCAATGCATGTCTGCAAAAATCAGCCTCCTGTCAACCTGGAACAAGGCAAGACTACTCACGTCCATGGCACCTTCAATCTCCTTGTCGCCATCAATACTGCCGTAGCCAAAGTATCCCACCGCGCCAGCATATACACCGCGTTTTTCCCGCTCCAGCTCAGCAATGAGCTCCATAGCACGGACCTTGGGCGCACCGCTCACCGTGCCTGTTGCCGGTTAGCGACATTTCCAACTTTTTCAACGCGCTACCTACCAGCTGGGAAGATAGAGCGGAACGCGTCGAATCGTGTCTTGCCAGGTCGCAGCACCCCGGACACCTCCGAGACCAGGTGCTGCACGTGGGAAAACTGGTTTTGATTGCAGTTAGCATAGCCCTCAGTTTGATATCATAGCGCTCGCTTGATATCATCGCACGGTAGCTCATCGCATGATCCACGGTAATCACGGTTCGGACGGAACGCTGCTCACCTTTTGGACAACCATTAGCTTGTCAACTCGTGTCGAAAGTGGGTCGCACACGCGATTGACGTCATTGCGAGCCAAGTCGACCAACATAACCTGTACAGCACAATGTAAGCTTCCAACGTCGCTGCATGCACTTTGATGTCAGGCAACCCACATGTTCGGCCCGGTCCTTGAGCGAGTTGGACAATTCGTCTGCGAGTGCTGCATCTTCTTGCAGTGTCTTGCCCCGCTTCACTGTGCCGGCAATGGGGTGCGTGATGATGCGACCCTGCTCCTCTTTTACCAGCAGCTCGGGACTTGCCCCCACTATCTGAAAATCGTCACAGTCGACGAAGAAGAGGTACGGTGAGGGGTTGACGTTGCGGAGGTTCCGGTACACGTTGAAGGGGTGCAATGAAGTCGGTCTTGCAAACCGTTGCGAAGGTACTGCCTGGATGATGTCGCCAACGCCAATGTGCTTCTTCAATGTCTTGACGTGGTTCTCGTACCCCTCCTGGCCAATGTTGGATGTGTACTGATGGCCTAGCTGTATAGGCCCTTGTTCCGGTAGCGGGATGTCCTTGTCCTTGAGTATCGTCATATACCTCTTTAGTGTACTCTTCGCTTCCTCGTACGCTTGTTCTAGGTCGTCCATGCTGTCTGGGACCTTGACGTACGTTATGACCTTTACGACCTGCGCGAAATGGTCCAGAGCCACCAGGGTATCGAAGAGCATGAAGAAGCTCTCTGGTACACCCAGCACATCCTTCATGTCATCTCGCCGT